GCTTTCCTCCATTTCTGTCATTTGTGACCTGTTTCTTTGTCTCTGCATTTTGGCTGCTTCCCTGTGTTGATAGGGTGGCTTTCTCTGTTAGGTGTCCTATAGGGCCCAGTAGTTTAGCCTTCCCAGTTACCTGAGGTGGACACTCTTGGTGCACCCCTTTGTGGGCTGTGTGCACATTCTTGTTGTAGTTAAGCCTTACTGTAGTTGGTATCACTGGGAGGAATTGACCTCCAGGCCAATCAGCTGTGAGAATCAGCTGTGTCTATGGTGGGAGAACTTCTGTGCTGGAGACACCCTTCTGGGGCAAGACTTGCTTCAGTGGGGCTTTGGTGCTCACTGAGACTGCCCCCTGAGTGTGTCCCTTATGGATCTGAGGAGTTGTAGTTTGGATGGACCCACTCTGACCACTGGGTACACTGGCACTTGGATCTCTAAGGAGGTGCTAATTTAGCCTCTGCCTGAGGCTACCCAGCAGGAGCTATGGAGAGATCTGTAGATTCCTCTTCTTTGTTTGGGATTTGGAGGTGCCCAGATGAGGCCCAGCTGTGAAGCAATGCAAGCTGCTGTGGGGCCTTGGGCCTTCTTTTGGAAGTTCTGGGTCTCTTTGACCCAGCTGCAGTTTGTTAGGTAATTTTAGATTGCAAAGGGCCAGGTCATTCATATGCAAAAGCCTCTGCGCACAGCTTGGGTGGGGCAGGGTCTCAGGGAATCAACAGGGCAGAGCAAACAGCTATGGCTGATCCTCAGTCCTACCCTAAGAGGTCCCGAGTCTCAGTGTCCAGGTAATTGCTGCAAGCACCTCTGAGAGAAAACTGCCCTTGAGTTCCACTCACTGCCAGACAGTCCAGCTTCGACAGTCCAGTTTCTCCCCGTATGAGTCTGGGTCCCCAGAGACTAGCCCGGAACTGGAGTTCAGAGTGGGAGCATGTGTCTCCCTCCCGATTGAAAAAGACAACCGTGTCCTCAGTTGCCAGCCCTTTCCGCGTGCGCCTTGGTACCTCTGCACTTTACTTCCGCACCCCCTCTGAGTCTCAGTGTGCTTTTCTCTTTCCTTCTAGTTGTAGAATTTCTACTCAGCCAGCCTTCCTGTGGTTCTGGATGGCGTCTGTTTTGTCTTTTAGTTGTATTTTTGAAGTGGTGGTGCGAGGCAGCAATTTCCGGTGTTTACCTATGCCGCCATCTTGGTTTCTCCAAGGCTATTAGTCTTTATCCTGTATTAGAAGCCATTGACTATGAACAGGTGTGTGACAGTCATAATTTTTAGTGTGCCTTTGCCAAGCAATGCTCTAGGCATTAGGGGTGCATCTCTGAATCAAACAGATGAATATCTCTATTCTCATGGAGCCTACAGACAAAAAAAGGTATAGACCAATGATGGCGAAACTTTTGAGCTTGGCGTGTCAGCATTTTGAAAAACCCTAACTTAACTCTGGTGCCATGTCACATATAGAAATTTTTTGATATTTGCAACCATAATAAAACACTTATATTTTTGATATTTATTTTATATATTTAAATGCTATTTAACAAAGAAAAATCAACCAAAAAAATGAGTTTGCGTGTCACCTCTGACACGCATGTCATAGGTTCGCCATCACTGGTATAGACCATATTAAAATGTGATAAGTCCTACTGAAGCAAGGAAAAGTAGAGCACAGTAAGGAAAGTTAGGCATACCCAGAGGAGGTGTTTCCATTTAAACAGGATCGATAGAGTAGAGCTTACTGAGCAAAAACTTGGAAGAGGGATGGTGGTGGTGATGGAGTGAGCTATATGGATAATGGAAAAGAGCAGTCTAGGCAGAGGAAGGAGCTAGTGCATGAGGCTTTGATGTTAACAGTATCACTTCAGTCTGTTCAAAATTAACTGTAGGAGGTTGAAAATGTAAGTAGGGAGACAGATTAGGAGGCTACAGTGGGGCCTTGACTAACGAGTTTAATTCATTCCATGACGGAGCTCATAACTCAAATTACTCGTATGTCAAATCAAAAAGTGAACGAGTGAGACACGTGATGCTGGGCTGATGTTGTGGTATTCACTGTGACATTCGCTGTGTCAACTAGTGGTGGGGTATCTAAAGCTGGCTCGTAACCCGAATTTTAGCTCGCAACTCAAAGCAAAATTTGGCCGAGAGACGGCTCATATCTCGAAAAACTCATTAGTTGGGTCACTCGTAAGTCAAGGCCCCACTCTATTCCAGAAATCTAGGTAGGAGGTGATGGTGGTTGGAACCAGATCTCTGCTTTAAGAAGAGGACCTTGGCAGTGAGAAAAGAGTGGAAGCAGAGGTAATTATTACGAGAGTTGCCTTGCTGGTGATTAGAATCTAAAGTAGGATGTTTTGAGTGAGGATGAAGAGGGAACTGCAGGAAGATTACCATGGAACTTGACAGCTGCTTGACTATAGGGAATGAAGGAAAGGTGGCATGGGAATCTTAAGCCTGGATAAATGGAATGCAGATCTAACCATTAATAAGTGTTACCCTCCTTTGTGAAAGTCTGTCTGACCCTCTGAGACATTTTGCCCACTTCCTGCTCATGTAGTGCTCATTGGGTTATTAATTGTATACTCATTTTTCCCTCTTGCCACCCACCTAGAAGTGGTCTGACTTTTAGAATTGTGGCAGTATTAAGGAATAATTAGGAATGTAAAATTTAAGAATTCTGAATAATCTAAATTAGCATATAGCTTGTATATGGAGAATAACTAGCTGATTAGCACTCAAAGAGCATAAAGTATATTGGTCAAATTGAGTTTAGTAGATGACATGTAAAATGTGTTGGGGAAGGACTATGGGTGCCAGGGGAATGCTCTTTGCAATGATGCTTGAGCCCTGGGTAATGGTGGCAAAAGGGCAGTTACCCACAAAGGGGTATCTCTGAACATGAGATTATCATGGACTGTTTCAATTCAGTAATTCAGTCCTAATGTCCTAGAGCTTAATTATACTCACTGAAAAGGTCACATGTTGACTAAGATTTAGTACCAAGTAGTAACCAGATCTGTGGTCCTTTGGGAATTTACTCATCGTCTTCAAGCTTCAGTTTCGTCACTTGTAAAATGAGAGGTTTTGACTAGATGCTCTCAAATTCCATCTAACTTTAATAGTCTCTAACTCTTTAATGTGTGATTTAATATGGACAAAAATATGTTAACTTAAAAAAGAGAAAAACACTCAAGTTTCTTCCCATAGACAAGGTGATAATATTGCTAGCATTACTTTTTTTCTTCTGTCCTCCTATTAAACTGTCAACATTATATTAAAAACCGAGATATAGATTTAAAGCATTCCACACGTATGTGTACCTTACCATAGAGAATTTGACAAAATAAAATTATATTTTCCCCCAATTTACATTCTAACGTTGAAGATACAGATTTGTTTCTAGTCTTGAGTTTATAACCCCACAGAATGGGAAGAGAAGAAAAGCAGGCGTTGCTTGAAGAACTATATAATCTGGCTAATAATAAGGTGGACAGATACATATCCAGATGGTAACAGGGTAGTTGAGGCACCTTTGAAGCTTTGACATTTTGCACTCTGATTTTATATTACAGGAGATCATGAAGTTTGTCATTGTGCATAAAACAGTTTCTGGTAATCCACGGGGAAAATTAAAGAGAAAATACCAGCTGGAGATAGTCTTAGGGAGTTCTCTCTTAAAATAGCTTCCTTTCTGATGTAACTAATCCCCCCTCTTTTATTTTCCTCAGGCAATAAAGATTGATTGGGAATTGTGTCAGCAGGATATAGTGAAGGCATTGTATAAAGATGTAGAAGTGTAGATCCCTGAGGGAATCGATGGATTGAGAGTAGAAAATGAAATGTGCAGATAATAGTGCGTTTGTCCCAGCTGATTGAGAGGAGGGTGATCTTTACAGCATTTTGTTGGTGCTATTTGAAGACAATTTCATGAGATCCTGAGACCAAATAATTCTCACTTCCTTAAAACTCATAATGGACTTCTCCCCATCAGTGAGAAGACCGTATTTCGCTTAGTAAAAAGGGATGTGAGCACGCATGACCAAGTTGATGTATATCATTAGTTTATGTTGTAGGAAATAAATGTACATGATGTAGCAGAAGGGTTAATTTCAATTCCTAACAGGCAATTTAAACAAAACTTGTTCTTCCCTAATCTTGTCACTTGGTTGGCAGTTCAAAACATTTATAATATAATAACTGCCCTTCATGCTAATTGTATGTTATTATAAGATCTTGAAGTATCTTCTGAATCATGAAGATTACTAAATTATTAGATGTTACTTTGCTTACTTTAGTATTGCTTTATTACTTTAGTATTATTGTATTCTGATTCTTCAAATCATGGTGCCTATGTATGTTATGTGGTAGTGTTTATTAACCACTGTATTTTATTAACTAGAATACACCATTTCCAATGATTTTCAGAATTAGAAGTAGAGAGCTACATCCAAAAAAAGTGTTGGAGTTTTTGAGAAATGGGCATATACTAAAAGAATCACTAAGTTCAGTTTTATCTAGACTATTTATAAAGATGTCCTTTAAACACCCATCAGATATAACAGAGTTCTAGACTGAGCTGTTGTGTTATATTTTATTACTATTAAATATGACATTTTTCTTCTTATTTATATATATTTTTAAATTTATCTATTGTAAAAACATGATCATTCATTCTAAAACTTTGAAAAAACTTGAAAGGGGCTTATGACTTCACTGTATGTTTTCTTATGTTTGAGCACTGTGGCCATGATGTCTGATCCAAATGTGACTTCGGGACCTTGGGCACCATCTTTAAAAACAAATAGACATCCCCACCCCACCCTTTATTTTAAATTTTTAAAAAGTTGTTTTTTTTTCCTTTTGTAAAAAATGTGCTTGTTAATATATTTAAACTGTCTGATTATTTTTGACAAGTTATACTTGATAAAATAAAAATGAGAATTATTCAATTATTGTTTTATCTATGAGTTTCTCTTATTGACAGGTGTTTCTTTTTTTCTTTTGGTTTTAATAGAACATTCAAATAAAAACTTTGGCAGATGATGTGGTAAGGTGGTCTTTAATAGCATGTTATTGCATTACTTATGCATGTTGCTTTTATATTAAAGTGAGTGGACATTACAGCATTGATATATGTAAGATATAGAATGTTTGGATGTTTACAAAGTACAGTAGAATGGAAGAATTTTCAATAGAATAACTTCTTTGTTTGAATTTTAACATAAAACAATTATATGAAATCTCAACAAAATTTTGATATTATCATCTTGGTATATACCTTAACCAAATTAAAAAAAATCTCTCTGTAAATATCACTCTGGAAAATCCAGATGTTTCCTTTATTGATAGCTTAAGAAAATTGACTGTGAATATGTTAACTAGTAATATGAATATTGGAAGAAATTAATGTAACATAGAAAGGAGGTTAAGTTCATTATGTTAGTCAGATATTTAAAATCCTTAAATATTTTTGAGCTGAATCTATCACAGTAAACCTTATTAAAAGTTATGGGCTTTAAAATTTAAATGTGCCCTTTTATAGCTAAACTTTAAAGAAACAGTATTGTAAGCAATGCCAATTTTTACTTGGTGAAATTACCTATCTACAAATAATGTAAAATACTGTTAGTAATTTAAGGAGGTGAAAGTATTCAGATTAACTTCATTTTCTTATCAAGATATAGCTGAAAGCAAAAGCCAGTTATCTAGATAGAAATGAAGGGCATAGTGGAAGATCAAATATATATGTAAATAATGCTACTCAGTAGAAAAGCCAGCTCGGCAAAAGTAAATATTAAATGATATGAAGGGACAGGAACAGAGGTATGTTGATTTAACGGTTGATTGCATATTTGAATGCTTTTATGTCCACCATATCTTTTAGTGAAATTTGACTGTTGAATATGTACTCAGCTTATTTGGGATTGCTTAATATTTTTTTCTTCAGTTGTTCAAAGATATACTACATATTTAAACCAACTTAATTTTTCTCAGAGTTTAAAGAAAATTTGAAAATATTGTTAAAGATGATTTTAAAAAAATGAACCTTACAGTGAACACTGGGATAGAAACCAGAGACTCGTGAATTTAGCAAGTCACTTTTTCTGTGAAATGAGAGAGTTGGTTTGGATTATTTTTCAAGTTTCTTCCCAGCTCTAGAATATTATGATTTATATAATCTCTTTGTAAGCAACCACATACTAAAATCATTTTTGTAATCCTAAATAAGCTGTTTAAAACTACTCATATTTATTTCAAAGCACACCTTTTAAGAAAAAAGTGTTCTTTGAATCAATATGAAAGGTCTGTTTGTTTTTTTACTGGGGGTCAACAGAAACTTACATAAGTTGCAGTAATGACTTCTTGATGCTTTTTGTATTGTTGAAGTAATGTATAAGGACTTGGTAACCTGGCAGTGAAGACACGCAGTCCTTGCATCTGCGCTGTGTCTGCTTGTTTGTTTAACGTGAGCTGACAGTGTGCATGTGCTTCCTAACAGAAACAGAATAAAACCAAGCTGCATTCAGTTTTATGGTCCTTACTAATTTTTGATGTCTAATGTTTTGTGGTTTAAAACAGAATGGCCTGTTTACGTGCAACTGGAGTCGTTAACCCACTTTATGTGAAATAGAAAGCTAATTATTAGAGATTGTACATGGAATCAATGGTTCAGAGTCAATATCCATTAAATAGCAAGTTCTTCATAATAGTGTTTGTAGGATTAAGATATTTCTGTTTATGTTGTGTTTCCAGTAAATAGAAAAGGTGATGTCTTGTTGGTTCTACTTTTTAGGGCAGAAAAAAAAGGTAGAGGAAATAATAGTAATAGTAAGAACAACAATAATAAATAGCAGCTAAATGCATTAGGCATATCAATTTATTTTATTGCACAATAACCCTATGGTGTAAGTAATATCATTATTTACTTATATGACATGTTAAATCATTGTGCTATATTACTTTTTATTTTTATATTTTTTTATTTATTTCAGAGAGGAAGGGAGAGGGAGGGAGAGATAGAAATATCAGTAATGAGAGAAAAATCACTGATCGGCTGCTCCTGCACACCCCCCACTGGGGATTGAGCCTGCAACCCAGTCTTGTGCTCTTGGCCAAAATCAAACCTGGGACCCTTCAGTCTGCAGGCCGATGCTATATCCATTAAGCCAAACTGGCTAGGGCTCATTGTGCTGTTTTGGAGATGAGGAAACAGAGACTATCTAATTTGCACAGGCAAACTGAGCAAGTAAAAGGCAGATTCATACTCAGGTAGTCTGCCTTCAGAATTTGTGCTCTTAACCACGATACTCTACTGCTACACTGAGCAAGTACTCACAGATACTTGTCACAATTTTTGGCACCTTGAAGAAGACAAACATTACTATAACATCCCCTTAGAACTGGATATCGGAAGCTCTTTTTATTTTCTTTCTCTCTTTCTCATGATTTGAAAGTTGCCAACAAAGACACATTCTCCCTGAAACAACCCACATGACTTTGATGCAGGTCTTTTTGTTTACCTACTTCCTGTGCAAAACTGAAATGACGGAGAACTGAGTTTTACTTTTTAAGGAATACTTTTCAGCCCCCAGACCGCTGAGGCTGGAGAGCTACTTCAGGGTTTCAAAATAGTACAATCTCTAACAGGAGCTTGCTGCTTAAAATAACATTTTGTCAAAAGGCAATAATGTTGTGTGTCATACTAAGTGCCATTTTGATGTTTCAGTTCCTTTTTTTGTGTGATTCCCAATCTCCTTTTTAGGGCTTATTTGTTGTTGTTTTCTCTTTGCAGCGTGACCGAATTACAAGTTTTAGAAAATCTACTGTCAAAAAAGAAAAACATCTTATTCAACATCCTATTGATTCTCAAGTTGCGATGAATGAATTTCCAGCACCTCAGCCATTATATGATGAACGATCTTTGAATTTGTCAGAAAAGGAAGTACTGGATCTCTTTGAAAAAATGATGGTAAGGTGGACCCCTACTTTTGTTGTAATTTAAAAATGCGTGTGCCTGGAATAACACTGGGTTTTAAGTAGGTATGTTTGTATGGACTGGACTGTGTTTATGTCACATAAAGGACGGACCAGAAACTTGGCCGATACAGCAGAACTATTTTCAAAAGTATCTGTTTTTTGAGCTAACATTCCTACTTATCTCTTCCAGTTTGAGCTCCTAAAAGCAGAGGCTGTCTTACTTACTTTTGATCTGTAGCATTTTGTAGTCTCTGGCACATCAAATCAAATTTTCAGGTAACTAATTTGTGTTCCTGTTTCTATAAAGCGAAACAGGCCTAAGTCCTCTTTGCTGCACAAGGTATCTTGTTCGGTATATGAAACAGAATTGGGAGGGAAGAAGTGATAAAACCATTATTGGGGGCAGAGATATTAATTCCTCCAAGTTTGTTCTATAGCAATAGTCACACAACCAACATTTCCTAGCATGTTGCTTATATTTTATAGCTTGTGGCATACGTTATTTCTTATATTAGACTAGAGGCCTGGTGCACAAAAATTTGTGCACTCGGGGGGGAGGGGGGGTCCCTCTACCCGGCCTGTGCCCTCTCGCAGTCTGGGACCCCTCGGGAGATAACGCCCTGCTGGCTTAGGCCTGCTCCCGGGTGGCAGAGGGCAGGCCCAATCCCTAGGTGCAGCCCCTGGTCGGGCTCAGAGCAGGGCCGATTGGGGAGTTGGGGCGCTGCCCCCTGTCATGCACAGAGCAGGGCAGATTGGGAGGTTGCGATGCCACCCTCAGTCACGCTCAGGGCAGGGCCGATTGGGGGGTTGGGGCACCGCCTCCTGTCACACTCAAGGCAGGGTTGATGGGGAGGTTGCGGCGCCACCCTTTGTCACGCACAGAGCAGGGCTAATCAGGGGGGTTGGGGCTCCGTACCCTGTCACGCACAGAGCAGGGTCGATCAGGGGGTTGGGGAGCTCCCCCGTGTCATGCACAGAGCAGGGCCCATCAGGGGGTTTGGGGAGCTCCCCCCGTCACGCACAGAGCAGGGTCGATCAGGGGGTTGGGGCTCCGCCACTCTCACACTCAGGGCAGGGCCGATGGGGAGGTTATGGCTCTACCCTGTCACACACAGAGCGGGGCCCATGGGGGCGGGGGGTGTTGGGGCACCGCATCCTGTCACACACAGAGCAGGGCCCGTGGGGGGGGGGGGTTGGGGCACCGCACCCTGTCACACACAGAGCCGCAGGGCGATCAGGGGGTTGGGGAGCTCCCCCCGTATCAGGCACAAAGCAGGGCTGATCAGGAGGTTGGGGCGCCTTCCCCTGTCACGAACAGAGCAGGGCGGATAGGGAGGTTGTGGCCCCACCCCCTGTCACACACAGAGCCGCAGGGCTATCAGGGGGTTTGGGCACTGCCCCCTGTCATGCTGATCCCGGTGCCGGGAGGCCTCTTGGCTCCGCTGATCCCTGTGCTGGGAGGCATATTACCCTTTTACTATATAGGATAGAGGCCTGGTGCATGGGTGGGGCTGGCTGGTTTTCCCTGAAGGGTGTCCTGGATCAGGGTGGGGGTCCCCACTGGGGTGCCTGGCCAGCCTGGATGAGGGGATGATGGCTGTTTGCAGCTGGTCAAACACACTTTAGGGTGGGTGTCTCCACTGGGGTGCCTGGCCAGTCTGGGTGAGGGGCTGAGAGCTGTTTTCAGGCTGGCGGGTGACTGAAGCTCCCAACTGCTCCTTTTTTTCTTTTTTTTTTTATTCTGGGCCAGCTTTAGCTCTGGCTCCAGCTCTGAGGCCTCTGCTGCTGAAAGCAAGTATCTGGTTTGTTTGTGTTCTATAATCGAAACAATGTATAACTCCACCTCTGAGATCCCTGCGGGCTGAAAGCAGGTTTCTGGGGTTTTGTTTAGCTTCTATATTTGTTACAATGTTTCAAACTGCAAGCTCAGAGGCCGGCAAGGCAGGCGGGGAACGTTGGAGTCCTCCATCACTGAAGCAAGCAAGCCTCATGTCCGCTTCCAGCTGCCTGGCTGCCGGCGGCCATCTTGGCTGGCAGTTAATTTGCATATCGCCCTGATTAGCCAATGGGAACGGTAGTGGTCGTACACTAATTACCATGTTTCTCTTTTATTAGATAGGATAATAAATATCATGTTTTGAGTATTCACTAGTTTATGGTAGGAGAGGAGAGAGATGAGGTTTGGGCCGTGTTACACTTGCTTGCTTGACCAGAAGAGAAGTGGAGATCCTGACTCATGATTTCTTTATTCTCTCCCACTTAGCATTCTAATATTTTTAGGTGGATGTCTATTTATCTGGAGTTAGAGTTCACAGGAGTTCCCAAGGTCCCTTCACCCACACCAAAATAAAAGGTTACGAATCACTGAAAATCCAGACCTTCTACTCTGCTCATTATGGAACAGCTTGTCACCACCCATCCCACCCCCACTGTTTCCCTCCTGTGCCTAGAAGAGGAGGTAATAGGCCTTCAATAAATATCAGTTGAAAGTTGTTGAATGAAGACAAACCTAATTCCCTTTATCTTTAAACTTTTCCTTGACTATTCCTTCTATCTCGCCACTGTTCCTTCTACCTGGCTTGTCCCCGACACAAGTCCTGCCATTTGTGCCCTCTTCAGCCCTGCATGCCGTTTTCTACCTGCTCCTTCCATGCCATCTTTGAACCATCGTTCAGCAACCCTTTCTCTTGTGAAGCCTGTTATCTGCTGACCTTCCTTGATGATAAAAGCACCTGGCTATCCTTTTGACTTTTCCCTTGATTTTGGTGATTTCAACTATTGTGTTGACAGCCCCATGCTTTTTTTGCTCTTACTTCTTTGATTTCCTAAACTCTCACTTCTGCACTTATACATTTAGCTAATTATTGGCACGAGTATGCCTTGGTTGGACTGTGATATTCTTTGGAATGATTCCACCTAAGTAAGATCTTTAACTCTGAAATTCTCCTAAATAACCTATGCTCTCTCTCCCACGCTTCTAATTTTACAAAGTGTGTATTGTGTAGTGGTTATGAACAAGGCCTTTGGGGTCATTCCGACTTGGATTTGAATTCTGGCTTCGCCATTAATCGCATTAACTTGCAAAGGTTATATAAACATCTGTACACTTTGTTTTCCTTAACTGTAACAAAGATATAAAAGGATCTACCTCATATGCTTATCTTAAAGGATTAAAGGAGATGATATTCATAGAATAGTGCCTGGCATATAAGCTCTCTGCATAAGTAATTTCATAACTGTGTTCCATTATCTTTCTTTATCAAATAAAGTTCTTTCTTTAGTTGCCAATATTCTAGATCACCTAGATTGCCCCTCAATTTACCACTTGGTTGCCTTATCTTAATAACTCCAAAGCAGTGATGATAACAACAGAAGCAGAAACATTCCTTGATTAACACTTTTAATTCTTTAAATAGTTTTTTTTTTAATTTGTCTCTTTTCTCTCTTTTTTTTAAATACATTTTATTGATTTTTTACAGAGGGGAAGGGAGAGGGATAGAGAGTTAGAAACATCGATGAGAGAGAAACATTGATTAGCTGCCTCCTGCACACCCCACATTGGGGATGTGCTGGCAACCAAGGTACATGCCCTTGAATGGAATCGAACCCGGGACCCTTCAGTCCACAGGCCTATGCTCTATCCACTGAGCCAAACCAGTCAGGGCAATATATATATATTTTTTTACTTCTCTTCACTCAAGCCTCACTCAAATTATACTTACTGCTTTAATCTCCCAACTGGTTACTAATTTGTACAGTATTGAAATAGTTCTTTGAGTTTATCAGTGGCATTGCCCTACTCTAGTTTACTTAAGATTGACACTTCCGGGTGATCTTCTACTCCATTGGTGTTCTCAGTCACTTCCAGTTGCTTTCCAAATCATACTGGCTTGGCTTTTGCAATGACTTTTACATCTGTTTCCTCAAATGTCCTCTAGATGCTCTTGCCCTAGTTTCGACAATATCCCTCTCTAGTTGTTTCTTGTAGGATACTAAAATAGCCTGCTAACTGGTCTTCCTCCTGTCCTTTAGGTTTTGCCTGTTCTAGTCCAATAATGCCCTATTAATGATCAGAAACATTCCTTTTCCAAAGCACCAAATAGGCCCTGATGTTTTCAGACAATTATTTTATACATTTCAACTCCAGTCCCTCAGCTGTGCTCCTAGAAGACTATTTCACACCTGTACTTTGATGTTCAATCCTCAGAACTCTTACTTATCTTTATACTCTGCTGATGACCTTGCTGCTTAATTTACTGAAGCAATCAGAAGAAAACTTCCACCACCATATATATCTACCCAACTTTTAGTACCTGCACTCACATAGTTTATCTTGCTACCTGTCACCGTAGGTGAACTTTTTATGTTCCAAATCCCTCCATTTGTGTATAAGGTTCCATTCCTTTTCAACTACTCAGGGACATTGCCCCAATAATTTTTCTCCTCTGTCTTCTGCCATTCCAAGCAGCATACAACCTGTCTCATTTTACAAAACCTTTTCTTGACCTTATCTCCCTTGCCAGCTACTGCTTTATTTTTACTCTCCTTTGAAGCAAAACACCTCGCTTAATTTTGTTTATATTGATTGCTTCTGATTTCTCACCTCTCACTTTCTCTCCTAAACTTACTCTAGCCAGGCTTCCACCTCACCATTCCATCAAAACTGTTACCAAGGTCACCAAAGATCTTCATGCTGCTGAATCCCATGCTCAGTTCTCAGTCTCATCTTGATTGACTTATCAGCAGCATTTGATGCAGTTGATCATTCTCTTCAATTTAAAATGTTCCCCTCTCCACCCCTCAACATTGATTTTATTTCCTCTCCTGTCTTTGAAATGCGTGACAAGAAATAAGTTACTTTAACATTGCCGATACAATTATTTGGAATTTCTGGGTAATGATATATTTTGGTGAAACTTGGTGAAAGCTTAAATAATGAGAGGCAATCCTATCTAATAAAAGAGTAATATGCAAATTAACCCTCACTCTGTC